TGTGTGTGTGTATATATATATATATATATATATATAGTATATATCTATGATGATTCATTCTGGTTTCCCTTAATAAGCAAATCTGTGTGTGTGTGTGATTCATTCTTGTTTCCCTTAATATATAACATATGCAACACCTGTTTTTAGTTTAAAGTTCATTGTTTGTATGTAATATACAACGCTTACCTCTCTTTTATTTAAAGTGCACTGTTGTTTTCTTTAATATATAATATATACAGCACTTAGGAGTTTATTCTTTAATTGAATATACTTATTGATTATTTCGGAAGGTATAATATGTATAACCCCTGTCTGTCTGTCTATCTGATTTAATGTTAATTGTTTCGTTAGTATGTAACATATACATATATGCAGCACTTAATCTGTCATTTAGTTCTAAGATTGTTGTTGTTTTCTTAAGATCTAATACATGCAGCGCTCTATCTTTTATTTAAAGTTTGTTTTCTTGGTATATAATATATACATTAACATATATGCAACACTTCCCTCTCATTTGGTTGAAAGTTTATTGTCATTTTCTTAAAGTATAATGTATACAACATTTACCTATCTTTTATTTAACATTTATAGTTGTTTTTTTAAATATAAAAAGCAAACACTTATATATCCATCTTCTATTTAAAGGTTATTATTTTCTGAAGGTATAATATATACCACACTTACTATTTTTCGTTTAACGTTCATAGTTGATTTCTTAGTAGGTAACAGACACCATGCTTATCAGTGCATCTTTTATTTCAAATATATTATTTTCTTAATGTTAGTATAGACAACACTTATCTACCTTTTAAATGAAGGTTTATTGCTACTTAAAATGTAGAACGCTTTTTAAACTTTGAACTTTATAATATATAATATATACACTTGTCTACTTTTTTTTTGAATTTGAAGTTGAGTCTTGCTTTTCTAACATATAGAAATATACAACCCTAAACAATCAGACACCCTTTCTCACCATGAGCGCAGAAGGGAGTGGAGAGAAAGGAGGAGGAAGGGGAGAAAAATTCAAGAAACAGAGCAGGGTGTTGATACACCTGTTCTTAAGAAGGAACTGCCTTCTGACAAATCCTGCTTTGGCTGGCTCCCTGAGTCTAAAGAGGGACACATGGGGGGAAGTGATGAGGGGGGATGTAGAAACAAAAGCATATTCTGGGGGCGTCTGTTGCTGCCAAATTAAATTTCACTCCAGCTACCGAAGCAGAGAAGCTGGAATAAACATCAGGTGCCCTTAAAGGTACTGCTGGACTCCTGTGAATTTTTTTTATTACATATTACTGTTATTTGGAAGCTGCTAGAAATTATGGGGCACAAATACTTAAACACAATAGACATTTAACAACATAAAGAAAACTGTGTGTCAGTGTTCCCTCTAAGCTGAGTTAGTGTGAGGTAGCTCACAGTTTTTTAGCCTCCAGCTCACACATTTTTGTCTTCGCTCAGGAAGGATGGGCTCCAGAGCAAACTAATTCATGCAGTAGCCAAATGGCTCGCTCACAACTTTAATGCCAGCAGCTCATAAAGTAGAATTTTTGCTCACAGGACTCCGCAGTTTAGAGGGAGCATTGGTGTGTGTGTGTGTGGGCGTTTCCTGACCTCCCTGTAAACCATGGGGGGGCACAATTCTGTTTGTTTTTGCTGCCACAGACGTACTCTGTAATTGCATGGGGAGGGGGAGGGGTCTCCTCCGTCGGCGTTGTGGAGGGAGCTTGCTTATTACCTTATCCTCGGGTGGAATGCACACATCTTGTACTGAACAGGTTTTCCTCCGTTAGACATTAGGAAGAAGGGAGCAGTGACTCAGGAAAGCGCATCCCCTGCCACAGATTTTGTTAGGCTTTAGGGCGCTACTGGACTCTTCTTGCTCTTTTTCTACTGGACATAAGGAAGGCGTTGTAATAAGGTACTTTCACGTGTGTGTGTGTTTAAATCCTGTTTTGTATCGCATGCTGCCGCGGAAAGATGTAGGGTGGAAATGTTGTTTTCAACTGGAACACAGAGGAGAGTGAACTGAACGGGCGGTGATGTCTTCATCTCCTCGCCTGTCCTTCCCTCTCCTCATACAAAGAGGCATGTAAAAGCAGGCATACATTTCCTAGTCCATATGTGGTGGGGAATTTAAGCCTGATCTGGAATTTTTTTTAAGCCATTATACCCCTTTTGTCTTCGTCTCCCCACCCCTCCAAGCTAACCACATTCTCTTAAATATTTCCATAATTATTTGCAAACAAAATATTTGTCCTTTGAAAGGTACCGTTTAAAGACACACACACCCCTTCCCCGGCACCTGAACAAAGAGGGTTTGCTCGTCATTGGGAAGGCTTGGTGGGGTTGGAACTTTTCCTTCTTTCCCCATAACAAAAATAGATTTGGGAGGAGGACGGCGACCACCCTTTCCCCCAGGAAAAACATAAGGGCTTTTTTTGAGAGGTGGGGGTTAGATGCTGTAGACTTGCATTGTTCTCTGGCTACCTTTCCCCTTTAGACGAGGCAGGAGAGAACTTTTGTGTTCATTGTCGAATGGTGCCGGAGCGAGTGTGCACCATCGGCCACTTGGGCTGATGGCGTTCAGCTTCCCTCCATTATCCTCCGGCACAATAACAACGACATAGTGAGCCGCAGTAGCTGTGAGTCCCTGAGTTCCCTCTAAGCTGAGTTAGTGTGAGCCAGCTCACAGTTTTTTAGCCTCTGGCTCACAGATTTTTGTCTCGGCCCAGGAAGGAGGGCTCCAGAGCAAACTTAATTCATGCAGCAGCCAAATCGCTCGCTCACCACTTTGATGCCAGTGGCTCACAAAGTAGAATTTCTGCTCACAAGACTCCACTGCTTACAGGGAGCATTGCATCCTCTTTGGGCTTGCTTTTTGGGTGCTCTGCCCGCCCCCCAGGCCTCCCAAAGCCACTGTGGTCCAGATCCTATTGGAGCACTCTGGGCTGTTAAATTAAATGCCTGGGACTCAGCCCAGCGGAGACCTTTGCGTCATCTGCTCCGGACGTGGTGTGTGACTTCATAGCCACGGCACTCAGTGGGGCATGTGGCTTTCTGTAGCGCTGAAAGGGAAAGCAGGCTTACCTGCGACTCTTTGAGCACCACGGCCTGTCCTGTAGGCTTCAAATTGTCAAGCGATTCCTTCCTTGACCGTTGGAAGCCAAATCCAGGCCAAGCCTTAACCATCCTCAAGTTTGTGTCCTCCAACATTCCCAGAAGTTTCTCTCGAATAGATCGAGTGGGAAGGCCCTTTCAGTTGCTGGTCTCTTGAACTCCAAAATGGCTTGCATTTAAGAACATCAGAGGAGCCAATGTTGGATCAGGCCAATGGCCCATCCAGTCCAACACACTGTCACACAGTGGCCAAAAATACCAGGTGCCATCAGGAGGTCCAGCAGTGGGGCCAGGTATACAGGAATGTATACAAAGTTCCTGAATAGGTACATGAAACCTGAGCCCCCAAAATGTCAGTTTTCCCTGCACTCTGCTTTTTTAAAAACTTTTTTGTCTGTTAATAGATATGTACAGTTTCTGGATTATGTTCCTGAGTGTGGCTTTTGTGTTTTTTTTCCTTGCTGGGCAGGAAAATATTTGAAGACTTTCAGGGTGGAACCAGGAGAGGGATGTAAAACTTTACATGGTTAAGGATTCTTTTATCATTTATATATTGCTGTAAACAATTAACCATTTTCCAAAACTTGGAAAAGCGGCCAAGGGCATATCTGTATATTCTCGGATCGTTTCTACCTGTGGAAAGTGTGTTTTCCTCCACTCAAGACGGACTCCGGAGAAAGTTAACAAGTTAATTTTTCTTAACAAAAATCAGTAGCGGGGCTGACCATGTGCGTGTGGGTCAGATGTGAGCATGTTATTATTATTATTATTATTTTAAAAAAAGCTTAAATGGTCGCTTTATTAATACCACTGCTTTGTTAAATGAAATTTATGTCCCTGCAAAAGCAGAGCTTAATTTCATCCCACCCAAAGAGTGAATAAACTTGTGGCTTCTTGGAAATATCACTGGCTTGTGAAGCTGATGCTTCCATCTCTTGGTGAACAAAGGGCTGCTTGGAGGACTTCATCTGCTCTCAGCGGGTTCGAATCCGTTTTTAAAAATGTCTCTGCTTCTTATGATTTAAGAAACCGCAGTGAAACTGAACTTAAGCTTGTGGTTTATTTCATGCTGTTAAACTGTGGCACCTTTAGAGTGACGTTCCTAAATACTCGAGAGCTGATTCTTCAGCGCACGGCTTCTTCTGCGGTTCAACTCAGGACTTTTAACCAGTATTTCCTGGAATTACTGTTGCCCAGGATGCAACTGTTGTCTGTCACTCTCAGAGGTTTTTGCATGCCTTACTGAGATGATGGTTAGAGAACAGAGAAAACCAGTAGGTATTTCTGCCCACATGGAAGCAGGGGCAACCTTTGGTGTTATTTGGTGTCTGGTGTTCAAACGTTGTTGATTGGTTGGGCTCTTTGGGTTTCTTGAGGTAGTTGACTTAGCATTGCTTCCCCTCAAGAGGTGGTCGTTGTCTCCCAATAGGTTTTCCAGCATGCTATTTTAACACCGCCCCTTCAATGCCGGCGACCGCCATTAAGAGCGTCGGTGAATGACTTTTGCTCGTTGTACTGTGGTCAAAAGGGCAGAGTCTCTGCTTCCTTTTCCAATTTGATTTGATTCAGATTCACATTTACACAGAGAGCGATTAAAATGTGGAATTTGCTGCCAGAGGGCGTGGTGATGGCCACAGGAATCAGCAGCTTTCAAAGGGGATTTTATAGATTCACGGAGGATCAGTCTATCAATGGCTGCTAGCCATGGTAGCTGAGCGGAACCTCCACATTCAGAGGCACTAGACCTGGCTTTTCTTATGTTCTTACGGTGTTTCATCCTGTATCTAGGCCGTCTCGTGTCCACGAACAGGAGTTTGAATTTCTCCCCTTGAAATGGATTCTCGGCAACGGGCGAGGTCTCCACCTCCACGAATGGAGAATTCTGCCCTGTTGGTCTCACTTCCCTGCGAGCGAAATCCTCCCGGCCATGAAATTCTACTAAGTCTGGACAGTCCAAACGTGGCTTGTTTGCAGAGGCTGGGGAGATGGAGCCCTTAAGCGTTAACGCCATTCTTGGTTTTTATCTCTGGGCGCAAGTGTCTTTAGCTGGAGGGTAGCTGTTGAGTGGAGCTGTGGTGTGAGCAAATATTGGTTGTTTTGGCCAGGTTGTCTGTACTCCCTGAATGTGACACCTTTGCACGAAGGTTATCTGATGCTGATAGCAAGTGGAACAACCTCAGTCATGGTCCCTGGTTCATTGGGATGTGGCTGGTACTGATGCAGTGAAAGAGCCTAGAGGGTGTCGAACTCATTTGTTATGAGAAGAAGAATAGATTGGATTTATACCTTGTCCTTCAGTACCCAAAGGTGTCTCAGAGCGGCTTACAAACTCCTTTCCCTTCCTCTCCCCACAACAGAGGTGAGGTAGGCGGGGCTGAGAGAGCTCTGACAGAAACTGGTCTTTTTCAAGAACAGCTCTTATCAGAACTAGGGGCTTGCCCAAGGTCATCCAGCCAGGTGCAAGTGGAGGAGTGGGGAATCAAACCCGGTTCTCCCAGATTAGAGTCCGCGCACTTAACCACGACACCAAAGTGGCCCGGATCTGACATAAATGAGGCCTTGTTGGGCCGGGCCATGTGTCATAAAATGTAATGCCAGGTAGTGGAGATATAAACTTTATAAAGGACACGAACACCAAGATTTTTTTTTACTTAAAAACATGGTTAAAAGATTAGCACTCTTGCAATATTTTGTTTATTTAACAGTGTCTGATAACTGACACCTCTTGCTCTGAATTATTGCATCAAAATGTCTGTGCTGTTGCAATCTTGAGTATGCTGTTCAGGTGTGTATCTGTAAGCTGCAAACCTACGATGACGCAGCAGCAGCAGAACTGGAAGAAGAAGAAGCAGAAGATGGCCAGCGCGCGTCGCGCGCGGGAGGGGGGGGGGGGGGGGGGGGGGCCCTGATCCGGCCCCTGGGCCGCATGTTTGACATCCCTGGCCTAGAGGATCTTAGCCGACACATTGCTTGAATCTGACTTGCTTTTTCTTAACACCTCATTGTCTGAAGCCGGACAGAGACCTGTTGTTCGGCTCAACTACTGCGTCGCTCCAAAATACACACTTTTAAAGCTGCAAAATGATGATGATTATATTGGGGGGGGGGGGTTTGGACTAGAGCGCTGAATTCCAGTAGGCTGACCTAGCTTTGTGTGCACTTGCGTCTCTGCTAATGGTGATGTGCTTTCTGCTCTTTCTGCAGGTAAAGGCTTGGTGTCAAAGAATGCTAGTGACCACGTCACGACTGCGTGGGAACTGAGAACAGGAGGCTTTTACCGCTCCGTGCCAAATCTGCTGAGCGGTTTCATCTGCCGCATTATTATTTGTAAGTGGTTTTTTTTGGGGGGTGGGGTGTTTCTAAAGCAAATAAAAAGTTAGCTGCCAGGGAAATTTTTCACAGTCTGGGCAGTGTTCCCTCTAAGCTGAGTTAGTGTGAGCTAGCTCACAGTTTTTTAGCCTCTGGCTCACAGATTTTTGTTCTGGCTCAGGAAGGATGGGGCTCCAGAGCAAACTAATTTATGCAGGAGCCAAATCTCTCACTCACAACTTTAATGCCAGTAGCTCACAAAGTAGAATTTTTGCTCACAAGACTCCACAGCTTAGAGGGAACATTGAGTCTGGGTTATCGGAGCAAGAAGAATAACAGAGGTGGTCAGTTCGTTATCCTGATCCACAGAAGAGTCAGAAGAAACCACGGTCGGACTCGTTCCTATGCCCCAAGCGGTGGCTGGGTGGGCAGGTATCGCAAGGGGACGCTTTGGGCGGTGCAGCACTGCCTGCTGCTGACGGCCCGTCAGTTGGCTCTTCAGAGGCACAGCTGCAACACTGGCTGGAAAAGCTGGCAACCTCCATGTTGCCGTAATCCAGGTGTCCCCAACATGGGGCCCACGGGCACCATGGTGACCCCCCCCCCCCCCCGGCACTTTCTATGGTGCCCGCCAAGTTTTTCTAGAAAATGGGTGTGGCCGGGTGAGGCTTCCCCCCCCCACAGTGCCTCTGACTGGCCATTGGAGATCTGATTGGCCGTGCCAAATTTTAAGAAGTTGCTTCAGCACAAAGGTTTTCTGCTGGGTGACCCAAAGGCATACAGAATGTTCGTTTTGCAAAGGCATCCTGTTCAACTGAGCTTCTGTCTGAAACGGTGAAGAGTAACTGTTAGATTTATGTGTAGCCTCATTCCCTTGTGTTTTGCGGTTAGCTCTGCCTCCTGGAGCAGCCATTTTTGCTGTAGCGCCCTGTATCAAAATTCTGAAGGTGCCCTGCAGACTCACAAAAGGTTGCGGGCACCTGACCTAACCCCCAGCATAAAGAAGGAGATTACACCATTACATTTAGAACAGAGAAAAGGAAGTCCTTCACCCAAAGAGTTGTTAACACACAGAATTCACTGCTGCAGGAAGTGGTGGCGGTTAGGGTGGGCACAGACTGGCTCACGAGCCAAAATTTGGCACGAACTTGGGCCTGTTCGGAGACCCTGAACATTTACTGGACTTTTTTCCAGTTTGACTGTTCAGGGCCATTTGAATGTAACTGCTGAGCAGCGTGGAGTCTACCCGTCAGCTATTAGGTTGAAATGGCTGGCAGCGATTTAATCTTTCTGGGATAACTCCCCCCACTTTCCTCTGGCCGTGGCTTGCTGCAGCCAGGAGAAAGGGGGAACCGGATTCATGGCGTCTCTTATGTTCTTATGTGGAGGAGCTAGCTTTTTCCTCTGAAGTGTATATTTTTAAAACAATCAAACAGAGGCTTTTAGATATTGAATTTCAAAAACTGCAGCCCTTTCATCCCCCTGTCTGCTCTTCAGCTACATTAAATCTTAAGAATGTTGTGGGATGTATTCCCCAGTATTTGTATAATCTTGATAGTCCTAGTCATCGAAGAGCTTTCTCCCTTGCACGAGTAAATGCCTTTCCATCAAAAATACTGTATGGTAGGTTTCAAAATATTCCTAAGCACGAATGGAGATGTGACTGCGGCTCTATCTCTCTTGATTCAATTGATCACATACTGTTAGACTGTTCGTTGCATGCATCTGCTAGGGAAAAATGGTTAAATAATTGGTTGCATGGTAAACATCATCTTCCTAATAAAATAAAATGCCAAATTCTATTGAATGATACAACAGTAGAGATTACTGTGGCAGTGGCCAATTTTTTAGTTGATGTGATAAGAGTGAAAAACGTGGGAAACTCCGTTTTATGATTTTATAATTATCTCATTTAGCTGATTGTGTCATTTACTGTCTCTGATTTTAATGTTGGATATGCCATTAAAGGTCTATTGATTGATTGATTGATGTTCTTATGTCTGGGGAAGTGATGCTCTGTCTTCCTGGTGCTGGGGGGTGGGGCAACAGTGGGAAGGCTTCTGGCCCCACTGGTGGGCCTCCTGATGGCACCTGGGTTTTGGCCACTGTGTGACACAGAGTGCTGGACTGGAGGGGCCACTGGCCTGATCCATCGTGGCTTCTCTTATGTTCTTCTGTACGCTCCTTCAGATCATAGGTTAACAGAATCCTTTTAGCAGCAACACGGAAATGCGCTCTGTGTGTGTCTCGTCTTTTTCCTCTTAAGCTGTTCATTGTCTCTCCCGTGGCTAACGTGCTCCCCCTCTTCTTGCAGCATCATAAAAGTGGGAAGACAAAGCAGGATTTGATGTTTTGTGTGGCACCCAACGGAACAGGACCCATCATGAATGTGACCAAGGGCGGGCTGGTGCTGTTCTCGGCCAATTCGAACCCATCATGCATGGAGCTATCGAGGAAGATCGCTGAGTAAGTGGAGCTGTTTTTGGGGGGGCGGGGTGGGATGTTTTGTACGGGTTTGACACCGATTGCTGGCTCTTCTCAAGACCCTTGGTTCACTGGCTGCTTTGAGAACAGAACACAGCTTTCAACGAGATGAGTGTTGAGTTACTTAGATTCATCGGGGTCACCATGTTGGCCTGAAGCAACAGAACAAAGTTTGAATCCAGTGGCATCTTTAAGACCCCCCCCCCAAAAAAAGAGGGGAGAAATCTAAACCAGCAAAGCACAAACCTCCAAAGGAAGTTCAGAAAACTTATTGATGGCCAAAAGTTAAAAACAAAAGTAAGTGTACAAAAGACATATAAAAACCTAGTAGGGGCCCAAATGAAGCCTCATAAAATGTTCCAAGTTACAAATGCACACACAAAAAAGACAGTCTATGACCTGGCGTGTTTCGGCTCACAAGAGCCTTCTTCAGAGGTCAGTTAGTGCAAAATACAACAAGCGATAGAGTGCCTGTGACACACGTGAGGCAATTAACAATAAATAAAATAGGCCCAAGGTTGGAATGTTCCAATATGGAATTGAACGGCACACCGAAAAGTTTCTATTTGGGGCCACAAATATATCTGGCCTTGTGTCACAAGTAGTCGTATATACTGGAAACCTTCCAGTTTACAACCTAAGAGTGCAAATAAAATTGCCTTGTCAGGGACAATGTGCCATCTATATTCTGGGTATCAGCTCTCGTGTGCATGCAGAATTGAACTTTGTGGGTCTTAAAGGTTCCCCTGGACTTAGGCCAGGAGTCCCCAACGCGGCGCCTGATGACACCTTTCCTGTGCCTGTGTTTTTTTAGAAAGCGGGTGGGACCAGATAAGGACTTTGCCCAATAAGGCTTCTGATTGGCCACTGGGGATTGGACTGACTGCAGATTTTTTTAAAAAATGTAGCTTTGGGGGCAGCCGCTGTCACAGCACAAGGATCTTCACCGTGTGACTAAAAGAAAGTCGTGGCGGCCATTTTGTGGCTGGCCCCGCCTTCTGCAGCAGCCATTTTGTGACTGCGCCCACCAGACGCTTTCAGAGTTCCAGAGGTGCTCAAAAAGGTGGAGGGGAAGGCTTCAAACTTTGCTTGGTTTCCAGTTTGGTTTTGTGGGAACAATAGCTAAAAAGTACGGTCAACAAAATACGGAGCGAATGAGTCTGTCTCTTTGTTCCCCTGTGGCTCGGGAGCATGTTCTCAGGGTGGTGTTCATTAGTCTGTTTCTCTCTGGCATTTTGTTTCTTGCCGTGACGCCCACCTCGCCTTTCCCTCCCTCTTCAGGCGCCTCGGAGTAGAGATGGGCAAAGTCCAGGTTTACCAGGAGCCGAACAGAGGTGAGCCCGAAGGGGGGCCATATCCCGCCGTGGCCCCTCCCTGGTGCCGAACACCGCTCCTTCGAGCCATCCCTCCACGGGCATTCCCCCCCTGCCCTCCCTCTGCCATCCCTCGAATGTGTCTTGTGCTACGTGAGTCAGGGGACCGCTTCCTGGTTTTTCCTGCCCCACCCCAGTTCCTTTCGTTGGGGAAATTTCGGAGTGCAGGAAAATTTTCCTGGACATCCAATGCTCCCTTCTAAGCTGTGGAGTGAGCAAAAATTCTACTTTGTGAGCTACCGGCATTCAAGTTGTGAGCGAGCGATTTGCTTACTGCATCAGCCCTCCTTCCCGAGCTGAGACGAAAATGTGTGAGCCGGAGCCTAAAAAACTGTGAGCTGGCTCACACTAACTCAGCTTAGAGGGAACACTGCCCCCATCCCCACTGTGTTCATTGGGGGGGGAGAAAAGCCGGCAGGGATACCAGTTGCATCAAAGACAGAGAGGGAGAGAGACAGTTGTTCTAAACCAAAACGCAGTTTATTCCAGTATACACTCTTAAGGCAGAAAACACTTTGTAGCATTTCAGTATTCAACACAGAATATTTCAACACAAACCCAATACACAAATAGTGCGCTTGTAGTTCTATAAAGGATCTCCTTTGTTGCTCTGCCAAGACCCATGATGGAGGGTGGCTGGCCAGAGAAACAGCAAACAAGACTAAATCAAGAAGAAGAAGGAAGAGGAAGAGATTGGATTTATACCCCGCCCTTCACTACCCGAAGGAGTCTCAGAGCAGCTTACAATCTCCTTTCCCTTCCCCTCCCCACGACAGACACCCCGTGAGGTCGGTGGGGCTGAGGGAGCTCTCTCGAGAACTACCCTTGAGAGAACAGCTTTGAGAGAACTTGTAACTGACCCAAGGTCCCACCAGCAGCTGCGTGTGGAGGAACGTGGAATCAAGTTCGGTTCTCCCAGATCAGAGTCTGTGCGCCTAACCACTACACCAATCCGGGTCTCAGACGTTAAGTACCTTTTCCTATCCATAAGAGCTGATGAAACTGTCAGTCAAGCCTGTTGCCGAGCATCTGGCATATACCTGGTGTGCACGACAAAGCTCAGGCCTTCCTTTCTATCTCTGGGGTCAGGAAAAATCAAGGAAAGCTAGGGAAAGCTAGAGCGACTCAGTCAAGGAAGTTAGTTACAGATACCCTGTCTATTTAGAATTTGATAGTGTATAAAGATTCCAAAAGGCAAAAATCATATAAGGTAAGAGTCGTGTACAGCAGGCTCCCGAAGCCTCCTGGGATTCACCTGCATCCGGGTGCTCATTGAGTGTGATGGACTTTTTCTTGTAATTCTGCGAAGTTGTATTTGTGATATAAAACGATCCTTATTAAATGTCCCAGTCATTCACATCACAGGGTTTGCTTGTATGTTGTATTTCCTATATGGATAGCTGTGATCCCTTCTTGGGAAGGAGAGCAGTAGCGAGGGCCCACACATTATCCCACAAAGCAGGAGTTCTATAAGATGAGGATAGCCTTGCCCAGAAAGACATTTCATGCAGCAAGAACTTGACTTTGGGGGGAAGATGTCCGTACTGGGTTCTAGGGCAAGAGGCACTCTCCCCCCGCCCCCGAAACAGAATGTTCGTTCCAGACTCAGAAAGACAGGCAGGGACTATCAATCAATCAATCAATCAATCAACCTTTATCGGCATAACCTACAGAGCATACAACTCAGTTTGCAAAGAATACTGAAGGTCTTCTTAAAACGTCATACCAGAATTTTTGCAGCAGTTTCAATTATTACATGAAGAAGAAGAAGAAAAAGAGATTGGATTTGTACCCCACCCTTCACTACCCAAAGGTGTCTCAGAGCGGCTGACAAACTCCTTTCCCTTCCCCTCCCTACAACAGACACCCTGTGAGGCAGGTGGGGCTGAGAGAGCTCTTGACAGAAACTGCTCTTTTTCAAGGACAGCTCTTGTCAGAACTACGGCTTGCCCAAGGTCATCCAGCCGGGTGGAAGTGGAGGAGTGGGGAATCAAACCCGGTTCTCCCAGATTAGAGTCCGTGCACTTAACCACGACACCAGACTGGCTCTCGTATGGTTCTGGGTTGTCAACAAACAACGTAAACCTTACTTTTATCCGGTTTCCCTGAATACTTTCCCAGCCAAGGCTCAAGGAATATCAATCGCAAGTCCAAAAAGTGCACGAGAGCAGCACGTGTTCCAGAGCTTCTCTCTCCCCCTGCGAGCAAGAGCACAATCTGTTGTCGAATGGGAATTTTTGGAATCTCCCCCATAATACTGCTGATGGCAACACATTACGCCTGGCTAATGTGCATGCTCTGCGTTGCCCCGGGATCGCTAAACAAGTTAGCTATTCAGCCCTGTGCCCAAAATGTAAAAGCCCCAAACTGAGGAGTGAGCATCTGCTTTTTGCAAGAAGAAGAGATTGGATTTATACCCCCGCCCTTCACTACCCAAGGGAGTCTCACAGAGGCTTACAGTCTCTTTTCCCTTCCCCTCCCCACAACAGACACCCTGTGAGGTGGGTGGGGCTGAGAGAACTCTTGACAGAAACTGCTCCTTTTCAAGGACAGCTGTGCCAGAGCTTGTGACTGACCCAAGGTCACATCAGCAGGTGCAAGTGGAGGAGTGGGGAATCAAACCTGGTTCTCCCAGATTAGAGTCTGCACACTTAACCACGACACCAAACTGGCTCTCCAGAACCTGCCTCTCAGTGTCGATCACTCTTTCAGGCAGGGACTAGAGGTTGGGTGGGCTGGGGGAGAGTTCTGACCGTTCCAAGGGGAAAAGAGGGGCTGGGGTCCTGAAAATAATCCCAAATAAGGCGAGGGGAGGGAGAGTCCCGGGCAGTGTTCCCTCTAAGCCGAGTTAGTGAGAGCCAGCTCACAGTCTTTTAGCCTCCGGCTCACACATTTTCATCTCCGCTCCGGAAGGAGGGCTCCAGAGCAAACTAAGTTATGCAGCAGCCAAATCGCTTGCTCTCAACTTTAATGCCAGCAGCTCACAAAGTACAATTTTTGCTCACAAGACTCCACGGCTTAGAGGGCGCACTGGTCCCGGGGAAGGAAGCGGGCTCGAGTTGATCGATGAGACGGGGTTGGGCGGGCTCGCTGACCGCCGACCCACGCAGCCACGCACACTGAAGGCCTGTGTTCTCTCTCGGCAGAAACGAGGGTTCAGATCCAAGAGTCCGTGAGAGGGAAAGATGTCTTCATCATCCAGACGGTGTCAAAGTGAGTGATGGGAGACCTCTGCTCGGGAGGAGAACCGGTCCTGCAGTGCAGTCCGGCGCAAGATGTTATAACGCGGGTAGCGGGGCAGAGTGGCGCCATACCTGTGGCCTTCTAATTTGTGTTTTCGTTTTGATCCTTTTGCCGTTTGCTGGGTATCGCCTTTGGTTGCGCCGACACCTTTTGTCGCACTGCTGACTGCTTTAGGCACTGCATTGACTTTCAAGTGTTTGGAGGTGGTGGTGGTGGTGTTCTATTCCAATGCCTCCCGTGCCTTTAATTGTCTAGGCAGAGTTTTCCTCTGTACTCAACCCTGTATAGACAAAGGCATTGTTTTCCCCCCAGAGAAGGGGTCACAATGTGGAGATTCATACCAACAAAAAACCACTGTGATAAAATTAACAATGACACATTTAATAATTCTGTGAGCATCAATTTGTGAAGCTATTAATCTGACAATATAGTTAGAGAATTCTGACATAAGCAAAGCAAAGTCCAACATAATCATATCCTCGATGACCACACCGGTTTTTGCACTCATTTCACCAATCTTCCTCATGAGTAGTCTTATAGAGTTGGAAGGTGTCAACCTCTGGGTTCACTTTAGTTTCTTTTTAAAACAGTATAGCTTCTTATTTTCTTCTTTGTCAAATTATCCTGTAAAAAGCATTGTTAGAAGGAGTGGAAAAAGACATGAAGCTGAATGGAATAGTTTTGTTATCATTTTTAAATAGAATAATTTTAGACTTACTTTCAGTTCCATTGCAAGTACTTGAATAGGGTATAAAATCTTAGAATAGGGCATAAACATTTTGGACTGGCTGCTACGATTAGAAATTTAGTAATTGGCTTGCTCCTATTCAAGTAGGAAGATTGGTGAAATGAGGGCAAAAACCGGTGTGGTCATCGAGGATATGATTATGTTGGACTTTGCTTTGCTTATGTCATAATTCTCTAACTAGATTGTCAGATGAATAGCTTCACAAATTGATGCTCACAGAATTATTAAATGTGTCATTGTTAATTTTATCACAAGTACTTGCAATGGAACTGAAAACAAAACTATTCCATTCAGCTTCATGTCTTTTTCCACCCCTTCTAACAATGCTTTTTACAGGATAATTTGACAAAGAAGAAAATAAGAAGCTATACTGTTTAAAAAAAGAAACTAAGCTGAACCTAGAGGTTGACACCTTCCAACTCTATAAGACTACTCATGAGGAAGATCGGTGAAATGAGAGCAAAAACCGGTGTGCTTATCGAGGATATGATTATGTTGGGCTTTGCTTTGCTTATGTCAGAATTCTCTAACTATATTGTCAGATTAATAGCTTCACAAATTGATGCTCACAGAATTATTAAATGGGTCATTGTTAATTTTGTCACAGTGGTTCTTTGTTTGTTGGCATTGTTTTCCCCCCATCACAGCCATGCAGAAGACATGTCAGTTTGCTTTAAAAACGTCCCCCCCCCCCCCCCCGCCGCGTGTACTATTTTTGGCAGAGAGAAGCGGCTTTTGTAATATCATCGATCTCTGGTGCGGCTTCATCTGGAATACTGTGTACAGTTCTGGCCACCGCTTCTCAAAAAGGACATTGCAGAGCTGGGGGAAAGTACAAGAGAGGGGCGACCAAGATGATCCGGGGGTTGGGGGAAAGGCTGAAGCGTCTGGGACTTTTCAGTTTGGGAAAAGAGACGACGAAGGGGAGCGGAGACCATTTTTCTCGTTGTAGACAGATACGTGCCGTAGGTTGGGAAACGCTCCCGTCCCCAAGGGCACAGGTGATGTCATGATAATCACGTTTCCCTGCATCGCCGCTGTCGGTTTCCTAACATCCAGGCTCACAGCTTGGGTAGTCACAGAGAGCTCACTCCCGATGCCACAAACATGGATCTGCTTAGTGACAGGTGGAATTTTGGAACTGAGTTTTCCACACACTGCTCGCCCAGTTAATTCCCCCCCCCCCCATCTTCTGTACTCCAGATCATAGAGTGATACCAGATTTGTTTATCTTTTTTTTTGCTTGCAAGTCAGAGCTGACTTACGGCCACCCCGTAGAGTTCTCAAACCAAGAGAGGAGCAGAGGTGGTTTTGCCACTGCCTGCCTCTGCGTAGCAACCCTGGACTTCCTGGGTGGTCTCCCACCCAAGTACTAACCAGGGCCGACCCTGCTTGGCTTTAGAGACCTGACGAGATCGGGCTTGCCGGGGCCAGCCAGGTCAGGGCCAGGGTGATACCGGATCAACCACATCGACACCCGAAGAATCTGTGTTGGGTGAACCCCTGCCCAAGCCGAAGAGAACAGCATTTATTTTCGGCACATGTAACTAGGTTGTACGAATTCATTCATAAGCTGTTGCATTAAAAAAAAAACACACCTGCGCTATGTCTTAATGTTTATGATGCCAGCCAAAGTTTGACAGGTGTGTTTGTTTGTTTTTGCTCCCCCCAGCACATTTCTGCTTTTGGGGAAGAAGTCTGGGGCCCCTGCCCCTCCGGTCACCACCAGTGTTCTGAGTGAGTGTGAGCTAGCTCACAGTTTTTTAGCCTTCGGCGCACACATTTTTGTCTCAGCTCAGGAACGACGGCTCCAGAGCAAACGAATTCAGGGGTGTCGAACTCATTTGTTATGAGGGCCGGATGTGACATAGATGAGACCTTGTTGGCCCGGGCCACATGTGTCTTAAAATGCAATGCCAGTGAGCGGAGATACAAACTTTATAAAGGACACAAACATGAAGATTTTTTTTACTTAAAATAAAAACAAGCTTAAAACATCAGTTCTGTGAGCTGCATACCTACTTTTGATTTATCGACATTCACCACAGAAATCTCATGCTCAGAGTTCTGAGCCTAGGGCCCAGGGGGAAACATGCAATGGCTGAGTGATTAAGAGAATCTGGCCAAAAAAGCTATGGTGCAGCAGCAGTAGAACTGGAAGCAGGAGATGGCCAGTTCCACTGCGGGCCTAATGGAAGCCCTCCGGGGGGGCCTGATCCGGCCCCTGGTCTGCATGTTTGACACCCCTGAACTAATTTATACAGTAGCCAAATGGCTCGCTCACAACTTTAATGCCAGTAGCTCAGAAAGTAGAATTTTTGCTCACAAGACTCCACCGCTTAGAGGGAGCATTGGTCACCCACAGTGGCTCATAGACGGCCTTATACTGTCCTCTTTAGCAGTGGAAAGTCAAACTGAATAGAGGGCCAACAATACAATACATATAGGGGCCCAATACAATACAGTTATACAGCATAGATGCAAAATGGACCAGAAAGGAATTGCTGTTAAAAAAACAAATACATATAATAAAATGGGTAAATAAACAATGCCTCTATTATACTTAAAAAACAATATTGACTTATTTCCAGAGTAGTAATTCCACTCTGGAAGTAAGTCAATATGTTCTTTTTAATGTATTGTGGTATAAGCCAATTTGTTCCTCACAGTGTCTGACCTCTGAAGAAGGCCCTAACAGGCCGAAACACCTCAGGTCAAGTCCATTGGCCCTTGTGCGTATATGACTTTGGAATTTTTACATGAGGTGTGATCGGGCCCGTCACGGCTCAGGTGGGGTGTCACCTGACACTGCCACCACTCTGGATTTAGGTTCCCTTGAGAAGGCCCAGAGCACCCTCCCAAGACCTTCAGACCTCCTTTTTGGCCGAATGACAGGCGTGAGGACCAGGCAGAGTGAACAATGAAAATAGTTTATTTTATAAGAGGTCAAACAAACAAGGTGCAGAATAATAACAGTAAGTGGGTGAAAAGAAAATACATCAAATGCCCTAACGCATCTAAATATACACTGTCCCTAGCTCACTATCTGCAGTGGCCTTAGACTACTCACCCTTCCCTCAGGATGAGGGTCTCTTCCCTGCAGCAGCCTTCCTTCTGGCTCTGCCCTCTGGGAAGAAGAACAGCTCTTCCTGCTGCTCCCGATCTTTTATTCCAAGCCCTCCTCTTTTCCTATTGGTCAATTTTGGCTCCAAAACCTCGCAGGGGCTTCTGGGAGCAGTAGGCCCAGCCTCACCTACTGCTAGCTAGGCTCCCTGGGCCTAGTAGGCCTCTGGTGGCACAGCCCAGATCATGACAGGGCCCCTGTAGGTTTTTCAATCCTTTACAAATAACTCCCATGTATTTTTACATATTATTTATACATTAAGTTTTTATCGTTGACCCTCTACTCAGTTTGACTTACCTTTTAAGGTTCTTGCTGAGAGCAGCACTCCCCCCCTCCAGATGTGAGCCAGGCGTGGGTGGGGGGGGTGCGGGGAAGGTCTCCGTGTCGCTGTCCGCTTTCACAAGGGATCGCTTTCGTTTCCTCTCCGGAAATTCGGCGCAGCCGTGAGGGGGCCTCTGACGCTCCCCCCCCCCCAAAAAATCTAAAATGTGAAGGATCATTCTGCCCTTATTTATTTATTAATCTTTCTTACTGGGGCTCAAGGCAGATCAGACAGAATAAATCGCGACAATCAACAGAGCGGGACGTCCCGTAGACAATGCGGCAGAACCGGACTTGTAGAAATACGGGAACCAGCCGGAGGTGCAGCCCAGCGTGTCTTAAACACGACACATTAAACGGAGCAAGAATTACGTAGAACGACAAGATCTACCCGCTTTACGGCAGCCAATAGTATGAACTGTACACAGTGGTACAGTTTATCCTCAAAGCGAAGAGAAGCATGTACATGGCCGCTTTTGGAAAAAAAATACCGCACTCAGCGCAGTGGCGTGCTTGGGAATTTCTGCCCGTTAAAGATGTGCAACTTCCCCTTCCCTTCTCCAGTGAACGGAGGGCCTTCACACTGTATAACTCCCGTCAGAAGGAGGACTTCTTTTTCTAAAAACAAAGTGTCTGGCCCGAGACCCAGAGCCTTCTCGTTGCAGGGACGTGAACACGACCGTCATGGAACTCCTGATCATGGTGTACGCCTGCAAGACCTCCTGTGCCAAAGGTATCATCGGAGTGGTCCCCTACTTCCCGTACAGCAAGCAGTGCAAGATGCGGAAGAGGGGCTCCATCGTTTCGAAGCTGCTGGCCTCCATGCTGTGCAAAGCGGGTGAGAATGCAGAGCCGGCGTGGCACGGGGGTGGGGTGGGTGGGGGGCAAGGTTCCCTCTAAGCTGCGGAGTCCTGTGAGCAAAAATCCTACTTTGTGAGCGACCGGCATTAATGTGGTGAGCCAGCGATTTGGCTGCTGCAGAAATTAGTTTGTTCTGGAGCCATCCTTCCTGAGCTAAGGCAAAAAGCTGTGAGCCGGAGGCTGAAAAACTGTGAGCCAGCTCACCCTAACTCAGCTTAGAGGGAACACTGGTGGGGGGCAGCGTTCCCTCCAAGCTGAGTCAGTGTGAGCCAGCTCACAGTTTTTTGCCTCCGGCTCACACCTTTCTGTCTCAGCTCAGGAAGGGAAGGCTCCAGAGCAGTGTTCCCTCTAAGCTGAGTTAGAATAAGCTAGCTCACAGTTCTTTAGCCTCTGGCTCACGCATTTTTGCCCCGGCTCAGGAAGGATGTGGCTCCAGAGCAAACTAATTGATGCCGTAGCCAAATCGCTCGCTCACGACTTTAATGCCAGGAGCTCACAAAGTAGAATTTTTGCTCACGAGACGCCGCAGCTTAGAGGGAACATTGCTCCAGAGCAAACTAATTGATGCAGGAGCCAAATTGCTCGCTCACAACTTTAACGCCAGTAGCTCCCAAAGCAGAATTTCTGCTCACAAAACCCCACAGCTTGGAGCACTGGTGGGTGGTGTCCTTATGGGATGTACACCGCTTCAGGCATCTCTGTATGCCGGAACTGGCCACCGTTTAAAGCCCTATATGACTTTTTTTATTATTATTGTGTTGGATTTGTGTCCCGCCCTCCCAGGGCTCTTCTGATGTTGTCCTTGGGAGAAAGCCTCCCCCTCCGTGGCATGTAGCTGGACCTCTGGAGGACCTGCTTGGCCGTTGCGTTAGACGGGATGCTGGACGAGACGGACTGTTGGTCTGATCCAGCGGGACTCTTCCGATGCTCTTATTGTGAAATAGCGATTCTCTCTCTCTGCTTTCCCGAAGGTCTGACTCACCTAATCACCATGGACCTGCATCAAAAGGAAATCCAAGGTTTCTTCAACGTTCCCGTCGACAACCTGAGGGCATCACCATTTCTACTGCAGTACATCCAAGAGGAGGTGAGCCATATCCTGTCGCCACCAATGTTCCCTCTAAGCTCTGGAGTCTTGTGAGCAAAAATTCTACTTTGTGAGCGAGTGGCATTAGACTTGTGAGCGCGCGATTTGGCTGCTGCATAAATTAGTTTGCTCTGGAGCCATCCTTCCAGAAAGAACATACAACTCTGTGAGCTGGAGGCTAAAAAACTGAGCTAGCTCACACTAACTCAGCTTAGAGGGATCACCGGTTGCCACTCTCCTGGCTGGGGGAGGTTTGAGTCCCGCCGAAAGGATTGGTCCCTTTGTCTCTCCATATGCCCGGTGCTGCAGCTGAGAAAGCGCGCTGCCTGATTGTGCCAGGAGTTTGTTTTGCTCCCACACGGTGCTGCGTATCTTACATTTCCCACCAAAGATGTGAGATGTAAAAATGGCGTTTATTCTCTTTCGGCATTACAGATTCCAGACTACAGGAACGCTGTGATCGTGGCCAAATCTCCCGCCTCGGCAAAGAGGTCGGTAATGTTTGTTTTCAGAACTACTGCGGTTGTAGAAGAACACGCTTATTTTTTCCCCCTTCGCTTGAGAGCCGCTGCAGCGCGATGTCTGGGATATGGAGATGCCAACTGGGGCATTCCCTGGGTTGGATTGCTCCCGCGCTATGATCTCTCCAAGTGGCTTTAGGTGAGGCAGTCTCTTTGCCTCGGCCCCTGCCTCCATCTGCAGTATGGGAGTGATAATACCGATGTGCTTCACAGATCTGTTGTAAGCATTACAAGGAGTTTATCATATGGCCCATACCTTGTTCCATCTACATTGTCTCCCAGTTTGGTTCCAGACACACTTTGAGGTGCTGGTCTTGACTTTTAAAGACCTACATGGCTTGGGGCCTGCATATCTGAAGGGACTGCCTAACCCCCTTACAAACCGACCTGACCCTTGCAGTCGTCTTCAGAGGCCCGCCTTCTGAAATCAGGGCCTTCTCCGTCATGGCACCAAAGCTCTGCAACTCGCTCCCTGGAGAGAGACTGTCCCCTTCCGTTGCCGTCTCCCACCAGCAGGTGGAGACTTTTGTGTGCTCTTCCCTCAGTGATTCCTCCTTCCTGCCTAGTGTTTTATTACTGTTTTTATGTTTGTGTTTTTAAGCTTGGTTTTTATTGCTTTGACGATTTGTTTTGTTTTTAATGATTTTTACAAACTTGTTTTTATTATGTATTTTTTGCTTTGGTCTTTGAAAATCTGAATTCAAGTGCTTTTTTAATGACAGGGTAAACCAACCGTCTCCTTTCCAGTAATATCATTCTTAGTCCACTTTTTCTTTAAAAAAAGCCCATACAAAAGCCGTTTGAAAACCGTAGGACGATATCTTGGACCTTTGCGGACCGTTTTGGCCAGTACCAAACCCCAGCAGATCTGAGACTTGCCAGTAGCCAGAGACTTGCCAGTAGCCAGTAGCAAGAGGCTAAAATAGTTGTGTGATTGTTGATTAAAACTTGCCAGAGAAGGACTATCAGAGAAGCCAACAACTGAAGCAGAGAATACATTGCAGTAGCAAAAACAAGAAGGGCCACACCCAGTCACAGGAGATTAAAAATAAGGCCGAGGCCGATGGTGTAAAATCATGTAGAAATATATTTTATTACACAGTTAAAATTCCCAAAAAATTCCCTATGCAATTCGCCAACAGGCTTCATCGGGAATCTTTTGTTTTGCAGTAATTTTTCAGAAGGAGTGCAAGATCAGTAGCAAATTGTCAGGGGAAGTCAAGTTTCTTCCAGTGACTATTTGCTATTGATCTTGAACTCCTTTTGTACTTGCACCCCTTTTGAAGAATGACTGCAGGATGAACAGAACCCCCCTGACAGAGCTCGTTGGTGGAAATGCATAGGGGATTTTTTTTTTTTACATTTTAACTAATAAAATATATTTTTACCTGCTTTTGCGGTAGCGAAAACAATAGCCAGAAGGCCAAAACCGGCCATCTCCCCCCCCCCAATATTTTTATTCAGTTTTATAAGACAAACAAAAAACAAACATAAATAGATGCACATAAGAGGGAGATTCTAACAGTTTCATTTTACCCTTTGTCTTTGATACCTTATTATAGTCTTAAGAATTTTTTGTTTGTTTTTTCCACCCATACAATTATATTTCAGTAGTAATTACATCTCTGACTCTTAGTTCCTTAGTTCTTTTTGTTTTAGTTAGTGGGTAGAGGTCCGGGAATTTTAGTTTTTATTCTATCCACTAGGGAGCAAAGTTCGTTGTGGACGAAGACAACGGGCCCTAGAAAGGTAGGGTGGGCGGGTGGTAGATAGATAGGTAGATGGATTAAGGAAGGGTGAGGGGGGAAGACATAGACAGACAGTCAGTAAGCCAGACAGGGAGGGAGGGGGGAAGGAGGAGGGGGGGAAGAAGTGAGAGCGATGGGGATGAAGGGAGAAAGTGAGAGAGGGAAAGAAGGAAGGGAGATAGGGAAAAAGGAAGAGAGAGTGAAGAAGGGGGGGTAGTGGGGAAAAAGGGGCGTCAGTGGTTGGCTCAGCACCGCCGCCCCCGCCCCTCTCCTGCTGCCCCCGGAAAGCTGGCGAAGGTGGGGGGGGGAGCAGCGAAAATTAACGCTGGCCTTCCACTGATTCCCTCCAGCCCTAGCTAGTTGGGCGGGGGGGGGGAGTCGGGTGGTGGCGAGTGGCTTATCGCCGCCACTGCCGCTCTTCAAGTGCTCCCCGGTTCCACTCACCCACCAGGTGGTTGTCAGCAGTAGTCTGACGTCTGAGGGGAGCGGGTGCAGCCTTTGTGTTCTGAGGTGGGACTTAGGCGACACAGCCAGTGGAAGCTGGGGAAGCTTCTGACGAACAGTTCAAGGCTCCAAACACTGTTGGTGCACATTTTCTCTCCGCTGCGTGACTCCTGCGTCTTACTCAATTATATATAAGGGAGAGATTCGTAAAATCTTGACCATGTGTTTTTAAAATAATGAAGAAGATGGACAAAATAATAAAGAAGATGCCGAGATGGACAAATTGACTATGAGATTAAGAGGAAGTAATAATTTCCTCTTAATATCGTAGTCAATTTGTCCATCTCGGCAGTTTCCAATATTTTGGCTATAACTTCTTCTTTTGAAGGTACTTCTGTTCTTCTCCAGTATTTCGCTTATAACATCCTTGCTGCTGTTAGTACATGTACAGTAAGATAAAAATCTTGCCTCTCATAGTTTTCCAGCCATCTTTTGTTTTCCTTTTGAAATGTGCTTTTATTATTATTATTTTTTTTTAATGCCCCTTGCCTGCAGGGCGCAGTCGTTTGCGGAGCGTTTGCGGCTGGGGATCGCCGTCATACACGGGGAGGCGCAAGATGCCGAGTCGGACCTGGTGGATGGACGTCATTCACCCCCAACGGCCAAAAACGTCGCTGCCATTCACCCCAGCTTAGAGATCCCGAGTAAGTGACCTGGCGTTAAAGGTGTACGCTTGTCTGTCAGTGCGTACATCTTAAAAGGAGACCAGCGATTGGCCTCAAGTTTGGCAGGCCTACCCCACAGTTCAGGCGTGTGGGTTTTCCTCCGGGTAGCTTCCACTCACTTCTGTCTTCAGTCTATTTACGAGTCTAACTCCGAGCTTGTTGACAAAAAAGTTTCAGCAACGCTGTGCTCAGGATTATTAGGAAGGGGATTGAAAACAAATCAGCCAGTATCATCATGCCCCTGTATAAATCGATGGTGCCACCTCATTTGGAGTACTGTGGACAGTTCTGGTCACCACACCTCAGAAGGGATGTTATAGCATTGGAAAAAGAGCAAAAAAGGGCAACTAGAAGGATAAAAGGGTTGGAACACTTTCCCTATGAAGAAGAAGAAGCGATTGGATTTATACCCCGACCTTCACTACCCAAAGGTGTCTCAGAGCAGCTTACAAACTCCTTTCCCTTCCCCTCCCCACAGCAGACACCCTGTGAGGTAGGTGGGGCTGAGAGAGCTCTGACAGCAACTGCTCTTTTTCAAGAACAGCTCTTATCAGAACTATGGCTTGCCCAAGGTCATCCACCAGGTGCATGTGGAGGAGTAGGGAATCAAACCCGGTTCTCCCAGATTAGAGTCCGGTTCTCCCAGATTAGAGTCCACGCACTTAACCACTACACCAGACTGAAGAAAGGTTAAAGCACTTGGGGCTCTTTAGCCTGGAGAAACAACAACTGAGGGGTGACATGATCGAGGTTTATAAGATTATGCGTGGAACAGAGCAGGTGGAGAAAGAAGTCCTTTTCTCCCTTTCTCACAATACAAGAACTCGTGGGCACTCAATGAAATTGCTGAGCAGTCGGGTTAGAACGGATAAAAGGAAGTCCTTCTTCACCCAACGAGTGATTAACACATGGGATTCACTGCCACAGGAGGTGGCAGCGGCTACAAGCAAAGTAATGCTCTGTACTCTTGGTGCTTGGGGGGGGCAACAGAGGGAGGGCTTGGGGGAAGGCAACAGTGGGAGGGCTTCTAGTCAATGCTCCCTCTAAGCTCTGGAGTCTTGTGAGCAAAAATTCTACTTTGTGAGCTACTGGCATTAAATTTGTGAGCGAGCAATTTGGCCATTGCATAGATTAGTTTGCTCTGGAGCCCTCCTTCCTGAGCTAAGACAAAAATGTGTGAGCCGGAGGCTAAAAAACTGCGCTAGCTCACACTAACACAGCTTAGAGGGAAGACTGCTTCTAGTGTCCTGGCCCCACTGCTGGACCTCCTGAGGGCGCATGGTATTTTTGGCCACTGTGTGACAAAAGAGTGTTGGACTGGATGGGCCATTGGCCTGATCCAACATTGGCGTCTCTTATGTTCTTATGTATAAAGCTGCCCGGCCACTTCTGGTCAGTTTCACTCCCGAAGGAACAGCTGTTAAACCAAACAGCTGACCAGCAGGGAGTGCAACTGACCAGAAGCTGCAGGGTGGCTTCCCTTTCTTTCTCCAGCCTCGCCACCGCTGTGGGGCTAGGCGCACTGGGGGGTGTCTGGCGGGTGGTGGGGCGGGGCTTGTGGGTGGCAGGGCTCTGCCCCCAAGTACTTGCTTTGGCTGCAGGGCTGCTTTGGGTGTTCTTTCTCATTCAGCTTTATAAGTGCAAATCATTTGAGGGGTTTTTTAAAAAAGAATTTGTCTCTCTATCTGGACAGAATGAGGACGAGTTGGGTGGGGGGGAGCTAACACTTCATAGATAAACAGAGCGTTTCCGGCAAGATTTTAGGATCCGTGATGTGCTCTTTGCTTTCCCCTCCCTGTCTCGACCAGTGCTGATTCCAAAAGAGAAACCGCCCATCACCGTCGTCGGGGACGTGGGAGGAAGAATAGCCATCATTGTGGTACGTAGCGGCTTTCACTGGGTTTGCTTTCTTTGGCGGCAGTGGGAGCCGCTGTCGAGTCGGACCGGACTTACGTTGACCCATAGGGTTTTTGAGGCAAGAGACAAAAAGGCGGTTCTGCCACCGCCTGCCTCTGCGTAGCCACCCTGGGCTTCCTGGGTGGTTTCCCATCCAAGGACTAATTGGACCGACCCTGCTTAGCTTTGGAGATCTGACGATGAGATCGGGCTAGCTTGGTCCATCCAAGTCAGAGCAAAGGATGAGCAGAGGTGGTTTGCCATGGCCTGCCATTAGATTTTTATTAATATAATCTGAACGTTTTTTGTTGTTATTTTTAATTTGGTAAGCCGCCTCAGGCAGGCTCCTGGAGTGGTGGCATCATTTTTTCTCTCTCTTAAGTAAATAGTAAAATATTTTTTTGGAGAGTGCCGAAGAGGGTTCCGAATAGACCAGGGGTGGCCAAACTTGCTCATCTTACGAGCCACGTAGAACAATCGTCAGGTGTTTGAGAGCCGCAGGACACGAGCAAAGATTACACGTTTTTCTTTTTAAAATGTGCAAGTTTGCTTTTTATTCCTATTCAACGAGACTGCCAAAGATAAAGGGGGTAAAAACAGATATTGATAACAATATTTATCTGTCTGATTATATTTATTTGTCTGCTGATGCTATTTATTTGTCTGAGAGAAAGAGGAAAAAGAGAGAGGTGGAAAGAAAGAATGAAAGAGGTGGAAACAGAGAAACAGAAAGCAAATAGATGGGAGGGAGAGGAGAGGGGGGGAAGCATGCCTCCCCTTCGCTTCCCCAGCTGCCCTGCCGGGAGCCGCACAGTGTTCCCTCTAAGCTGAGTTAGTGTGAGCCAGCTCACAGTCGTTTAGCCTCCGGCTCACACATTTTTTTGTCTTAGCTCAGGAAGGGTGGGTCCGGAGCAAACTAATTTGTGTGGTAGCTAATTGGCTCACCCACTAATGCTGGTAGCTCACAAAGTAGGATTTTTGCTCACAAGACGCCACAGCTTAGAGGGAGCACCGTGCACAATATGTGTGTGAAAGAGCCACATGGGACTCCCGAGCCACAGTTTGGCCACCCCTGGAGTAGACTCTCTTAGGATGGCTCACATCACCTTGTTCTGGTAGAAGCGATTGTCAGACTGGTCCATGTGTGGCATCCTTAAAAGCAACATTTGGGGCTCTTCTCGTTCAGTCCTCCAACAATTTCCCTCCCCTCCGCCCTCCATTTTGCATAGCAAAAGTTGATCGAGGAGCATGATTGGAGCCGGGTGAAGTGTAGCAAAGAATAGCCTCCGTCCTTGCCCCCCCCCCAGACCTTTCCCTCAGTGCCAGCGCTCAGTCCCGCAATACACAGGGGCGTAGCGGTGTCTCTGAGCATGTGCCGAGTGTCATTGAACTCCCGGTTGCGTGGCCCCCCAGCTGGCCTGCCGGCTCGTTGCCCGGGATCATCTGATCGTCCCTCTCCCGTTTCCATTTTGGGCCAGGACGACATGATCGACGACGTGGATAGCTTCCTGGCCGCCGCCGAGACGCTCAAAGAGCGAGGGGCGTACAAGATTTTCGTCATGGCCACCCACGGCCTCCTTTCCTCGGACGCCCCCCGGTTGATAGAGGAGTCTGCCATCGATGAGGTAAGCCCGGCCCCGTTGGAGACAAGGGCGGGGCAGAACAAATGGCCTGTCGAGCCTGTAAAGGGAGGCTGCCATATCGGAAGCGAGTCCCTTTGAGCTGGAGGGGGTTTGCTTCCAAGTAAGTGTTCTGTGAGGGAGCTGCGGTGGCTCAGAGGTTAAGACGCTGAACTGCAGGCCGGAAGGTCGGTAGTTCAGCAGTTCAAGACCCGAGTGCGCGCGACGGAGTGAGCTCCCAGCTCCTGCCAGCCTAGCAGTTTGAAAGCAAGAAATTATGAGTGGATACAGGAACACAATACAGGAACTCGTGGGCACTCCATGAAACTGCATAGCGGTCGGGTTAGAACGGATAAAAGGAAGTCCTTCTTCACCCAAAGAGTGATTCACACATGGAATTCACTGCCACAGGAAGTGGTGGCGGCTACAAGCATGGACGGCTTCAAAAGGGAATTAGATAAGCATATGGAGCAGAGGTCCATCAGTGGCTATTAGCCAGAAGGTATAGATAGGGGCTCTGGGGTAGTGTTCCCTCTAAGCTGAGTTAGTGTGAGCTAGCTCACAGTTTTTTAGCCTCCGGCTCACACATTTTTTCTTGGCTCAGGAAGGATGGCTCCAGAGCCAACTAATTTATGCAGCAGCCAAATTGCTCGCTCACAATTTTAATGCCAGTAGCTCACAAAGTAGAATTTTTGTTCACAAGGCTCCATAGCTTAGAGGGAACATTGCTCTGGGGCAAGTGATGCTCTGTCTTCTTGGTGTATGGGGGGGGTCAACAGTGGGATGGCTTCAAATGTCCTGGCCCCCACTGGTGGACCTCTAATGGCACTGGTATTTCTGGCCACTGTGTGACACAGAGAGTTGGACTGGATGGGCCAACATTGGCATCTCTTATGTTCTTAGCACCGCAGCCCTAGTGTCGAATTTGACTGGCTTTCGAGCAAGGGAAACCTTTACCTAAGTGTTCTATGAAAGGGAACGTCTTCTAAAACTGCTTGCATCGTCACCAATGAGATGGTGTTGTGCTCGGCCTTGGTCTTGAGGGCCACTTTTGTCATTTGTAGCTCATCACGGTGGCAATATTGCATGAGATTCATTCCTTATTATTTTTTTGTATAGTTGAAGTTCCACGTACATGGAAGTACTCATTTTGACTTTGTGAGAAGTTAAATATATATTTGATTGTATAAATATTTGAAGCCTGACTTATATATAATTAATAATGTATTGGTAACGTAATTTTGCATGGTGCTGTCGTTTTGATGTTATGATCTTACATTGGGCAATGGGCAGATTGCCAGTGGGCAGGGCCTCCTGGTTGATGAACAGCCACTCCTGCGCACTGCTTAGAGGGAACACGGCTTCCCCAGCCAGCTCCCGACGCAAAGCCAAAACGATCGATAATGATAAAGGGCTTGATTTCCCACATTTAAAGTGTTGGTCCCACACCGGGAAGCTGGAAAAACAGGAGACTGAGAAACCATCCTTTCTTCCTAGTTTCTGATACCTCTTTTCTCTCTGTCTCTCTCGCTCTCTCTCTCGCTCTCCCCCTCCCTCTCTCTTCGCAGGTGGTGGTCACCAACACCATCCCGCACGAGATCCAAAAGCTCCAGTGCCCCAAAATTAAGACCGTGGACATCAGTATGATCCTCTCGGAGGCCATCCGCCGGATCCACAACGGGGAGTCCATGTCGTACCTGTTCCGGAATATAGGCCTGGACGACTAACCTCGGAGGCTTTGGAAGAGGGAGAAGGAGGAAAAAATTCAGGGGCCAAAACTGGACACGGACAGGATATTTTTGAACTGTGAATCTTTGTGGCTTAATCCTTTGTATTTCAACGGGAAAACACACCCCACCCCACCCCACCCTATTGAGTCGCTCCCTTTTAAGTTTACTAATGAGACTTTGAAAGCTATTCCCCCCCCCCCCTTTGCTGTTTTTGAGAAAAACAAACAAGACATGACCCAAAATAAAAACACCGCAGAAAAACCAGGGGGGGGGGATTAGTCTGTTAAGTTAGCTGCACTGCTTTAAAGGCACGATCCGGCGCTTTCCCTGGATGGGTGTCTTTGAAAGGAACGGTGGTCCGCGCAAGAGCGTTTTGTGGCGCCTGCGTTCCATAGGAGAACGGTCCCACTATCAGAAGAGCAGGTTGACTGCTCATTGTGGGATCCTTCTCCTAGCTGGCCCGTAGAGGCGCCTCAGAGGATCTGTGTGCCTGGATCTTTTCCCACTCGGAAGCCAAAAACTTCACCTTGCGGAATGAAGACCGCAAGCGAAGGGGGCCTTCCGCAAAACCCTTCCCCACCGGCTGGCTCTCGAGCCGCTCCCATCTACTTTCCTGAGGCTCGTGTAGAAGGACTTGGTGGATCGCGCCCGAAAAATGCAACACGTCCCCACACCCTCCCTTCCGAAAGGAGCGCGGCTCCTCGATTCGACATTCCCCATTTCCAAAACCGCTTGCTTCAACAAGTGCTTTCGAAAGGGTCAGTTTCGGAACAAATGACAAAAGTAGCCGCCGCGTCAAACTTCTCGCGTCCGCCAAGCCAAAAAACATTTGCGCCATCGTCTGCAGCTCAGTGATCTTTTATTTTTATTGTTTTGGGGGGTAGAAGTACTTTTATAGTAAAAGCATATGAAATATGCACCGGTATTTATTGTTTGTGACAAAATAAAATCTTGGGGTTGTTTTTTGGAGTGTGAGCTTTCAAAGAACCGTTGTGTGTGTGTGTGAACAGTTGTTCTCTGGGTGTTATTTCGGGTGGAAGGGTGCTGCTGCCACCACAGAGGGTTTGACTGGGCTCTGACTGTGGGATTCGCTGCCAGAGGATGTGGTGATGGCCACAAGAATAAACAGCTTGAAAGGGGGGATTAGATAGATTCATATGGAGAGAGGCAGTTTGGTGTCATGGTGGGAGGGCTTCTAATGTCCTGGCCCCACTGGTGGACCTCCTGATGGCACTGGTATTTCTGGCCACTGTGTGATACAGAGTGTTGGACTGGATGGGCCTTTGGCCTGATCCAACATTGGCGTCTCTTATGTTCTTATGGTTAAGTGTGTGGACTCTAATCTGGGAGAACCGGGTTTGATTCCCCACTCCTCCACTTGCACCTGCTGGATGACCTTGGGCAAATGATAGTTCTGATAAGAGCTGTCCTTGAAAAAGAACAGTTTCTGTCAGAGCTCTCTCAGCAGCCCCACCGACCTCACAGGGTGTCTGTTGTGGGGAGGGGAAGGGAAAGGAGTTTGTAAGCCGCTCTGAGAGTCCCTTGGGTAGTGAAAGGCAGGGTATAAATCCAATCTCTTCTCTTCTTCCCTCTTGATGTAGGGCTTCTGGACTTGTGGCTTAGAACTCTTGGGCAGAGCATGGCCTTATACTGGCCCACCTATCTGCTCCTGTATTTCTGTTGAGCACAAAGCTGGCCCTCGATTGGAAGTTGAGGCAGTGGACGTCCATGCCCTCAGTGAGGGGCTGTGAGTGTTCCCTCTAAGCTGAGTCAGTGTGAGCTAGCTCCCGGTTTTTTAGCCTCCGGCTCACACATTTTTTGCCTTCACTCAGGAAGGAGGGCTCCAGAGCAAACTAATTTATGCAGTAACCAAATCACTGGCTCACAACTTCCATGCCAGAACCTCACAAAGTAGAATCTTTGCTCATAAGACTCCACAGCTTAGAAGAGAGCATTGGCTGTGACTCGGTGGCAGAGCCCCTGCTTGGCTTGCAGAAGGTCCCAGGTTCAATCCCCGGCATCTCCAGTTACAAGGATTGTGTCGGAGGTGATATGATGGAGGTTTATAAAATCATGCATGGGGTAGAGGGAGTTGACACATCTTCCTCGTTCCCCCAAAAGAACTCAAGGGCATCCAATGAAGCTGATGGGCAGGAGACTCAGGACAGACAAAAGGAAATACTTATTTATTTATTTATTTATTTAACTTTAGACTTTATATCCCGCTCGAACCCCCTTCTCAGGGAGTCTCTGAGCGGCTTACATGTGGTGCTAGTCACACAATTTTATCCTAACTAGGGCCACAGAGTTTGTAGGGGTGGGGTTTCCTACCGGCACCCCTGTGGTGGTGGATTGGCATGCTCGTTCTCGGCTCGGCACTTCGATCGTCCCCGGCGGGCTCCATTTCGATCCGGCGGCAGTTCTTCCTTCGGGCGCACGGTTCCCGCCTTCCTCTGGTTCCAGCAACGTCCTTCCGGCTTTGCTTTACGCCAGTGTCCGACGTCATCATGCGCCCGTCTTGGCAGCGGCCGCCCGGATGTCTCCTCCTTCCTGGCCAACAGGGATCGCTCCGTTGGTCGCAGTAGCTTGCTGCTGCTGCTGCCGCCGCCGTCCGCCGCGCCACGCCACCTCCGATCTCCAGGGCCGATGTCTCGCTGCCGCCGCCGCCATCTCCGCCATCACCGCCGTC